TCAATTTCTAGCAACAAGAGTGGATTATATTAGTTATTTCCAATAAAGTAGTTGTTAAAGTGTTGACTTCAACCAGACATACAATAATTTGGCCTTAATTCTAAAAGAAAATTTATGTTTTAAAAATACATCAACATTGTAAGATATACAACGTAATTGGTTGGTTTGAATTCAGTTAATCAAAAGATTAAACTCTACATATCAGATTTGTTGGTTGGTACGCAAAAGGCATTGCATAATCCTTTTCTGAAACAACTTTTATCTATGAGCATGCTGTTCCACCAGCTTAGAATACTCTTCCACCCATTTTTATGATGCTCAATTGTTATACTCTGGGTATAGGTTGAAACTGTATACTCCTCAGAGAACACCTACACTTATAGGTTACGTGCTTACCTCAATATTCTACCAAAGTATTTTTTAAGTTGTACTGTTAGTACTTACCATATCTTTAAATCATTTATTTATTTGATTTTTTTTTTGTTTTTTTTTTTTTGTTTTTAGGTATTTATGTTTCCAGCTAGGCTCAGGTTTTCACTGGAGCAGGAACTATGTCTATTTTTTAACCACTATGTCATAGTGAATGCTACAGGGAAGAAAAATAATCTATAACAAAAATGTCTACACTAGGAATTTAATATATTATGAGAAAGCTACAGATAATCAGGTAAGAATCAATTTTAGGGGTTTTAAGGTAATTAGCTATATATTCAGGGGAAAATACTTATATAAAAAACAATAACATATTTCATGTGAATTCAAAATTAAATTTACCTTTAAAAATTAGCTATATAAGATAAATACTAGAATAAAATAAAGGTCAATCTTACTCATCTATACGAGGATTAAAAGAATTCTTCTAAGCAGGCCATAAAATCCACAAGTGATGAAAAGCCAGACTGATACATTTGATTACATATATATAACCTACATCTCATATAGAATAAAACCCATAAAAATTTGTAATGATTTTTATATAAAATAATAAGATAATAATGCATAGTATCTATTATCCTAGATTATCTCAGATCTTATTGTCAAGAACTGTGAAGGATCTGAAATCTTACCCTACCTCCAAGAAACAAGTTCCCCTACAGGATTCATAAATCGTAGGCAAAAGACGTGGATAGACATTTTTCAGGAGAAGACATACAAATGGCCAACAAACATATGAAAAAAATGCTCAATATCAATAATCATTAGAGAAATGAAAATTAAAACTACAATGAGATGTCTTACACCAGTCAGAATGGGTATTAAAAAGTTAAAAAATAACAGATGTTGGTGAGAATGTGAAGAAAAGGCTAATGCTTGTGTACTATTGGTGGGAATGTAAATTAGTACAATTGTGAAAAACAGTATGGAGAGTTCTCAAAGAACTAAAAATAGAACTACCATTCTATACCACTACTGAATATCTACTCAAAGAAAAAGCTATTATTGTATGAACAGACACTTGCATTTATATGATCATCGCAGGACTATTCCTTCACAATTGCAAAGATATGGAATCAACTTAAGCATCCATTAGTGAAAGCCTAGATAGAGAAAATGTAGTATATATACATAATGGGATACTTTTCAACTATAAAAAATAATAAAATTGTGTCTTTTACAGCAATATGGATGGGACTGGAGGCTATTATCTTAAATGAAACAACTCAGAAACAGAAAAATCAAACACCACATGTTCTGACTTATAAGTGGGAGCTAAATAATGTGTATATGTGGACATGTGTATGGCATTGGATATTTGGAGGGATAGAGGGTGAATCCTGAGAAAAGACTTAATGTACATTGTTTGGGTGATGGATACACTAAAAGCCTTTCTAAAGACCAGAATTTCACCACTATGCACTATATTCATTTAACAAAATTTCACTTGTACCCCTTAAATTTATCCACAAGAAACTTTAGAAGACACATAATTCCTGGATTTGAAATGTAAAACAGTTTATTATCCACAGTAACAACAATAGTCAGAGTATCCTAATTTTTACTCTGCTATCCAAGCCCCAATTCTTTCAGGCAACATGAAAGGAGCATATGAAAACTAAACATGTGGTGGGTTACATATGTTACAGGAGGACAAATCTGTGCTTATGTATCTCTCTGTAATTTCTCACAGAGGGCAGTAAATATACCTGCCATTTGCTTCAGAAGAAGACCTATCTCTGTCTTTCAGGAATGTAAGCAAACCTGTCCTTTGCAACAAAGAATGTCTCTCTTTTCCATGACTGTTGATTACATAAACATTTTAGAAACACTGCAGAACACAGGGCAATTAGTGCTTCACTCACAAAACATACAGAAATGCAAAATACCCTTGAAGAATGTTATCTTGATTTTTATCTATTCTAAACTATTCCCTCCCTTAAACAGGGGTCTAAGTCCTTCTCAGTTACTGTGGGACATTTTTCTTCTCTCTCTTACATCAGTAATTTTTCCCTATCAACTGAATCCCTTGGATACATAATTATATTGTTTAATTCTCATTCCAGCTTTCATCCCATTACTTTGCAAAACTTTGCAGCAAAAGGCTTTTTGCATCTTCACTGTCTCCTACTCTTTCTTCCTTTGTTCTTACATGCATTCCAACCGGCATTTTACTCACAGAATTCCACTGAAACTATTTCTCTAATGATTATCAAAGGCTTAGGATGACCACATAATTTATCATTTGTACTATGATATTTAAGAACAAAAAGTTACATTATTATTAATTAAACCAAGACAACAAACTGAAAGTGTCAAAGGTGCATTAGGATGAATGCTATCCCTTCCAAAATTTTATATGTGGCCAAATCCAATAGTCAATTCAATGTTTTATTTTACTTGATAAATTAACAGTATAGGTATGCATTGCCTAGCAACAGGAATACACTCTAAGAAGTGCATTAGGCAATCTCATTGTGCAAATATCATAGAGTGTACTTACACAAACCTGGATAGTAGAGCCTACTATACACATAGGATATATGATATTGCTTATAGCTCTGTGGTTACACACTTGTACAGCATCTTATTCCACTGAATTCTGTAGGAAACTGTAACACAATGAGTATTTGCATGGCTAAGTGTATCTAAATATAAAAAAGTTAGCACAAAAATACAGTATAAAATATTTTAAAAGTCACACCTATGTAGAGCACTTACCATGAATTTAGCTTGCAGAACTAGAAGTTGCTCTGGATGAGTCAGTGAGGGAGTGATGTGAGTGTGAAGATGTAGGACACTGGTATATACTACTGTAGACTTTATAAACACTGCACTCTTAGTCTACACTAAATTTATAATCATATATTTATTTTTCAATAATAAATTAATCTTAGTTTACTGTAACTTTTTACTTTAGATGCTTTTAATTTTTTGTAAAATAGTTTAAAATACATTGTACAGCTATATAAAAATATTTTCTTTCTTTATATCTTTGTTATTCTTTCTTTTCATTTTTAAAGTTTCTTGTAATTTAAAAATTTTTGTTAAAATCTAAGATGCAATCACACACATTAGCCTAGGTTTACAAAGGACTAAGCTATTACTGCCTTCTACTTCTGAATCTTGTCCCGTTGGACCGTATTCAGGGTGAAAAACAAGCATAGAGCCCTATGAAAGCAATGCCTTATTCTGAAATACCTCCTGACGAACCTGCCAGAAGTTGTTTTACGTTGCTTATTTTTTTTTTTAAGTAGGGGGAGTACACTCCAAACATAAAACGTATAGTATAGTAAATACATAAACCAGTAACATAATAATTTATTATTATATCAAGTATTATGTATTACACAAAATTATGTGTGCTATATTTTTATATGACTGGCAGCACACTGTTTGTTTACACCAGCACATTACACCACAAACATGTGAGCAATGTGTTGTGCTATGACATTATGATAGCTACAATGTAACTAGGCAGTAGAAATTTTTTTATGATCTTATAGCAGTCTGTTGTTGACCCAAACATCCTTATGTGGCACATGACTTTATTTGAAACCACAGGTTACATAGTCCCATCACTTGTTTTTTCCTGGATATTACAGTCATTGATTGTTCCTTTTCTTAACATTAGTCTTCTCAACAATATTGTTGTGAAAGCCCAGGCTTCAATCTCCAATTCTATTTCCTTTAATATCTACTCTTTCTTCCTCTGCAATCTCATCAAGTCACTTGGCATAAAATATTACCTATATGCCATTTATAAATAAGTTTATACCAGATCTCCCTTCTGAATTCCATACTACTATATCCAACTACCTATTCAATATCACCTCTTGAATTCTAATAAACTTATCAAACCATGAATAATTTGAATATAATTCAACCAATGTTGAAAATATTGACACAGAAAATCAAATATGTCAGGACAGTTGCAGTCTCAGATTGTAGTATATTAACTGTCATTCAAGCTTTGGGAAACAGCATATCTGATGTCTGACTCTTTGATCTCTTTATTTAAATCGCTAAGAGAAATATTAGGCTACATAAGACTATTAACAAGTGAATGCACATAAAATGGGATTTAAAGTTACAAGGAGATCTTTAAATTCTACCTGCTCTTCCTACTCCCTAGCTGTGGCATATTACCTCATAGCTCATATATTGTGTGATAAGTAATGATTCCATTACACTAGGAGTAGCAGAAAGCTTGACACAAAAATGACTTGTATAGATAGGATTACATTTTTCATTTAATGAAAATGATCAAGGTAGAGAGCTCAAGGCTGCTTGAACTATACAAAAATATCAGCCAAAATTTAAGTTTGGATTATCTTTCTACTCTGAATTGTTGAGAAGACTAATGTTAAGAAGGAACAATGAATGACTGTAATATTCAGAAAAAAACAAGTCACGGAACCATATAATCTGTGGTTTCAAAAATAGTCATGTGCCACATAAGGACGTTTGGGTCAACAACAGACTACTATATGATCATAGTCCCATAAGATAATAATGGAGCTGAAAAATTCCTATCGCCTTTGTATTTTGTGGTCTGATCAAAGATGGCTGCTTTTCTGCCTTTTCATTATCATACTATTGTCCCAGTTGTGAAGAAGGGGTAAGAGAACAATTAAGGACAAAAGACAAAACCTTACTTTCACAGGGGTTTGCCTTTTTTATTTCTGAGGACATATTTCTGAAACGAAGCCTTCTCTCAGAGACTTGTATCTCCATGTTATTAGGCAGAACTGTGTCATACTAACATAACAAGATGCAACAGAGCCTGAAATTTTACCTAGAAACAGTGAAACCTTGAAAAAAACTGGAAACATCTTACTAACAAATAAGATAAATTGGTTAGTCAAATAACATGCATCCCCAAAAAAGATTAATTGAGATAATGTAAGCAAAAGCACCTAGCAAAGAACTTGACAGTAGGGGCCTCAGTATATACAGGTCTTGTTGAGCAACATTAGTTGAATACAATTTAAATCTGTTCAATACTACCCTTAGCTAATCATAATTTTACTATTTTATTAGCAAGAATCCCATAGGAGATTTGAGTCCAAAGCTTTGCTCAGACATAGGTTTTGAGAGGTGGTGAGAATTGCCTGACACAAAAGACAGAGGATAGTAATGAATATATCAAGATGAATGATGGTGCATCAGCCTAGAGCAAAGGGAGGCTCCAAAAGGTAACAATCATTTACACAAGGTGTGACAGTAAATGAGCCAGTAATTTTAGTCCATTATTGTGTCTCTTAACTTTGTGCTACCTCTACATGCTTCTGTTTTCCACATGCTCACCAGGGGTGGGGAGGGCTAACCAGATTTAATAAGACCCATTAATATTCTAAGCCCCTTGCAGTTCAACAATGTTAGAAAATGTAAGACATTTTAAATGTGGAAAGCACTCTTTCTTCCACTCTCCACTGAGAGTTTGACAAAGTTTTCCGCAGCTTAAACTTGTAGTTTTTTGTGCTTGTTATCTTTTCCAGCACAGCTTGGTCAATCACAAAGTCTCCTACTCCCTGCACAAAATTATACAACCATGGCAACTACCCTTTGAAAAAGAAATATTGCCATAGGGGGAGGCAGCCAACTCACTCAGGCTCAACTAGTCTAGAAGTGTTAAGCAGCTGCAAAGAACATTGAAGGGGAGATGGCTGGGGCTTAGGGCATTTTGAGAAATTAATTTGAGAGACTTTCACTTTCTTCATGGACCCCTCCAGTTGAATAGCAGTTATCATTGCATGGAGCTCCTGCCTGTGGAATTCACTATGGCAGGGGGTCAGCACATAGAGTATATGACTGGATTTCAAAAAAAGCTGACTATAATGCTAAGAACAAAAAATAGCACTGCTACCTATTTGCCAGGATAGGAGAAATGCATCATGAGCTATGGGGTTAAAACATACTCAGCAGGTACTTTTTTCTCAACATGTGGTGTCTTACAGTCACTGCTAGAATTTCCTCCTGAAATACTAGGTTTGGATTATTTTAATATGTGGATGTTGAGTATAATACATCACTATTTGTTCACTCAAATAGAAAACATTCAAGCAAAAATAATTGTCATTTTTATTTCTTATAGAGTTTCTGTCAAATCTTTTTTAAGTTAAAGTTTAATGTATAGGACTTAGTTTCTATCTCTTTACTATTATTACTATAAATGAAACTCATTTTGTTAATTATAAGATGTGAGAAACATTATTAGTGTTTAATTCATTTTGTGTAAGACTTGACCTTAGAAATTGTGTAAAAATATTTGTAAACAAAATTAATTTTAAAAAAATAATATGTTGAGCTTTCTCATAAAGCAAATGTTTACTCCCTAATTTATGTTTGTTTTTATATTCATATTTTGATGTGTATGTGTTCATATATATCTGTGCAAACATGTTTCTATAGGTCTATTTTATATATTTATATTTTAATATATGAATAAACTAATGCTCATTTATATAAATTAGTTTACATACATATTCCATAAATTTTTTAGTATATACATATTAAATATGAAGTGTAATGCAACTTGGTGAAATTGTTAGCTAAATGGGCTTTTGATCTGTTTTAAAATGTTTTCATTTCTTTGTATCTTTAAATTAGTTTTGGAAGACATTTACAAAATTTTTTGAAAATTAGCTCATATCAGAGATTTATTACTAAAATATTTAAACATGTCTACGATATATACATACTTATCTAAATATATTCTAACTTCTTTGTTCATATAACTGTATCCATTACTACAGAGTGATAATCATGATCCTGAGACCTTGTAGGAACTTCAAGAATAATCACTAATGTAGGCATAGTTATGCTTATTTTTATTGCCAAGTGGAATGTTTGATTTTTAACTATTTTGTTCCAGACAGTAAGTTAAATCGTTTTATATACATTAACAAATGTATTAGCATTTTAACTTGATTTAATTCCTGCAATGCTGTGGCTCATAGGCATCTATTCATTCTAAAGATAAGAAAAGCAACACCTAAAAAAAATCAGCCTACCAAAATCAACCTCTAAAAAGTAGAAGCAATACTAATGCTTAGTTTTATGATCTCAGGTTTCATTTTTTAAGGTTAAAATATATTAGCATTGCTCAGAAGTATTATTCAATCAACACTGTATTTATAAAAATAGAATATTAGATCATCTATGAACACTATTATCAAAAGCTTTACTCTTAATGATTAATTTTGAAAAGTAAGATTTAAGAAAATTTATCAAATTCAAGAGTATTAACAATAGTAAGGGATGTGTAAAAGAGGTCAAATAATACCCTGAAATATTAATCTGCTTTTCTTTTTCACACTTTCTACTACCTGGTAATTTGTTTTTCAAATAGTTAGAGTCATCCACACTTCCTTGACATAAATTGACACATAGTAAAATTACAAAGAAGAAAGAAAAGTCAAAGCTTAGTTGTTGACCTCTAAATGTGGATTGTTAAGCCCTTGACAGAAGCAATGTTTTTGAAAGCTAAGGCTTTATTTTATAACATTATGTTTCAGATGTCAAAAGATATACAGAATAAAGGATTTACAAACTAAATGCTTATAAATATAATTGCTGTATCCTTTGTATCTCCAATTCTCTTTTTTCTCCACCATCTTGAGTTTAGTCACTAATCATTACCATGCATTTTTGAGTAGTAATATAGTCACATGGTTTATAATTAAACATATAAATAATATAGAAAGTTTATTCCTACTCTTGCCTTCATTTATCATGTCTCCCTTAGTCTCTCCCTCCCTCCCTTTGGTGATTAATTTTTAGTTTTGTTGTTGATTTTGGTTTTGATTTTTTGAGACAGAGTCTTGCTCTGTCGTCCAGGCTGGAGTACAATGGCATGATCTTGGCTCACCGCAACCTCTGCCTGCTGGATTCAAGCAATTCTCTTGCCTCAGCCTCCTGAATTTTTTATGTGATTATAAGAATTTCATTATCTTGCACTTTTTAAGTATATTTTTTACATATGCACGTCTACCTTAACAAAATACAGGACCTTTCTGCTTATTTTTATACATTTTATATGCTTTTATAATTTGCTTTATACATTCAAGATTATATTTGTGAAATTTATTTATATTTGTATTATTTAATCTAATTCATTAACTGTTATGGCTGAATAGTACACCAGTATACAAATATAACACAATTTAAAATCCATTCTATCATGGACATTAGACTGGCCTTGAATTTTGTTGTTGTTGTTTGTTTTTTCAGTCATGAACAACGCTGCTAGGATAGTTTACATATTTCTCCGTATACATATTTGAGCATATCTTTATGGTATATATCTAAATGAGAAATTGCTGGGCCACAGAGTCATTTTTTAACTTCACTAGATATTGCCAAATCATTTTCTAAAGTGGCTCTGCCAATTTGCACTCCCCACCACTTTAGTTTCGTTTTATCATTTTCTACTTTCCAGTACCCTGTGAGTTTTCCTTACTTTTGTCATCTCAGTTATTCATTTAAAAATATTTATAATATGAAAACAACCATTTTTGGTGTATTTGCTAACAATGTATGTGATGTCGATGAAACTCAAGAAAGCCAGAGATCAGGAACTGAACCTGAGAAGATCACACAGAAAAATGCAAAGTCAACATTAAGAAATAGCCCAAGCTATGTGGAAGATTCCAAGAATGCAGGATGCTTTCTTTTCACCCACAGTATAATTAAGGATGATCTCTAAAAGAGAGCTTCAAGGGTTTGTACATGAGTACAATTAGAGAGTGGTGACATGCACCCCTGTTACACATGTTGTTACAGTAGGTAGCTAATTAAGCTAGTCAAGTATGAGCAGGGCAGAAGAGGGCTTCCCCTACACACCAGGAGTGTTGGGTGACTATCAGGTGATGGTCAGGCAGTTGTTAACTCTTTCTTTAAAGTAATAATTGGACCGGGCATGGTGGCTCATGCCTGTAATCCCAACACTTTGGGAGGCCAAGGCAGGTGGCTCACCTGAGATCAGAAGTTCTAGACCAGCCTGACCAACATGGTGAAACTCCATCTCTACTAAAAATACAAAAATTAGCCTGGCATGGTGGCATGCCTGGTTATCTCAGCTATTTGGGAGGCTGAAGCAGGAGAATCACTTGAACCTGGGAGGCAGATGTTGCAGTGAGCTGAGATTGGGCCATTGCACTCCAGCCTGGGCAACAAACGTGAAACTCCATCTAAAAATAAAAAATAAAAATAAAATAACAATGGGTCATTGCCAGCGCCAGGGAAAGGCAGTCTCCTAGTAAATAGAAAACACCTGAAACTGGTAAGTAGGTTACTGGTAAGATCTTAGGCATGGGATAAAGTAATACAAGATCCTGGAAGTATGCCAATGTAGAAAACCCCATGGGAATGAAGAGGTCAAGCTGTGTATTTAGTTTCTTAAGTTGCCTGCTTGCCCTTCTTCCAAGCTGTACTTTCTTTCTTTCCTTTTCTTACAGTTCTAAAGCCTTTTTAGATAAACTTCCACTCCTGCTCTAAAACTTAGCTCAGTATCTCCTGTCTTATGCCCCTCAGTCAACTTTTTTCTTCTGAGAAGCCACGGACTGAATTTGCTGCAGACCCACACTGATACGCAGGCAGTAACTTAGAGTAACTTAG